ATGTTAGTAAGCATGTATGGTGTGATGAGGTGTGATGTTAGTAAGCATGTATGGTGTGATGAGGTGTGATGTTAGTAAGCATGTATGGTGTGATGAGGTGTGATGTTAGTAAGCCTGTATGGTGTGATGAGGTGTGATGTTAGTAAGCATGTATGGTGTGATGAGGTGTGATGTTAGTAAGCATGTATGGTGTGATGAGGTGTGATGTTAGACAGCATGTATGGTGTGATGAGGTGTGATGTTAGTAAGCATGTATGGTGTGATGAGGTGTGATGTTAGACAACATGTATGGTGTAAAGCATGTATGGTATGATGAGGTGTGATGTTTGACAGCATGTATGGTGAGATGAGGTGTGATGTTAGTAAGCATGTATGGTGTGATGAGGTGTGATGTTTGACAGCATGTATGGTGTTTTTAGGTGTGATGTTTGACAGCATGTATGGTGTGATGAGGTGTGATGTTAGTAAGCATGTATGGTGTGATGAGGTGTGATGTTAGTAAGCCTGTATGGTGTGATGAGGTGTGATGTTAGGCAGCATGTATGGTGTGATGAAATATGATGTTAGTAAGCATGTATTGTGTGATGAGATGTGATGTTAGACAGCATGTATGGTGTGATGAGGTGTGATGTTAGTAAGCATGTAAGGTGAGATGAGGTGTGATGTTAGTAAGCATGTATGGTGTGATGAGGTGTGATGTTAGTAAGCATGTATGGTGTGATGAGGTGTGATGNGCGTGTGAGCGCGTCTGCCTCCGCGTGTGAGCGCGTCTGCCTCCGCGTGTGAGCGCGCCTGCCTCCGCGTGTGAGCGCGCCTGCCTCCGCATCTGAGTGTGTCTGCCTCCGTGTCGCAGGGCGGCTACTTCTCACAGCTGCGCAACACTAAGAAGTCGTCGCAGCGGCTGAAGGAGGCACTGATGGAGAGCGAACTGGCGCTGCCGCTCTGCCTTCTCATGGCTCAGCAACGCAACTGCGTCGTCTTCCACGAGGGATCGCTCGTCAAACACCTGAAGCTCGTCGGAAAGCTCTATGACCAGGTGAGCAGCTGGGAGGTGGGGAGGCTGGAGGGAGGCAGAGGGGGGGGGGTCAGAGCAGGCCGAGAGGCGGCAGGGTAGGCAGGGGTGAGAGTAGGGGGGGAAGAACGGGGGAGGGGTGAGTGTTCGTAGGGGGAAGAACGGGGGAGGGGTGAGTGTCCTGGGGGGAAGAACGGGGGAGGGTGAGTGTTGTGGGAGAGGGGCAGGGCAGGGGGTGTAAGAGTGTCGTGGGGGGAAGAATGGGGTAGTGGGTGAGAGTGTCGTGGGAGAGGGGCAAGGCAGGGGTGAGAGTGTCGTGGGGGTTTGAGAGAGGAGGAGCGCTTGGGGCCATAATAATGATACAGGGGATGGGTGAGAACGAGTGACAGTAGGAAGGGGGAGGGGTGTGGGATGTTAGACAGCATGTATGGTGTGATGAGGTGTGATATTAGAGCATGTATGGTGTGATGAGGTGTGATGTTAGATAGCATATATAGTGTGATGAGGTGTGATGTTAGTAAGCATGTATGGTGTGATGAGGTGTGATGTTAGATAGCATGTATGGTGTGATGAGGTATGATGTTAGTAAGCATGTATGGTGTGATGAGGTGTGATGTTAGATAGCATGTATGGTGTGATGAGGTATGATGTTAGATAGCATGTATGGTGTGATGAGGTATGATGTTAGTAAGCATGTATGGTGTGATGAGGTGTGATGTTAGATAGCATGTATGGTGTGATGAGGTATGATGTTAGTAAGCATGTATGGTGTGATGAGGTGTGATGTTAGATAGCATGTATGGTGTGATGAGGTGTGATGTTAGTAAGCATGTATGATGTGATGAGGTGTGATGTTAGACAGCATGTATGGTGCGATGAGGTGTGATGTTAGACAGCATGTATGGTGCGATGAGGTGTGATGTTAGTAAGCATTTATGGTGTGATGAGGTGTGATGTTAGACAGCATGTATGGTGTGATGAGGTGTGATGTTAGTAAGCATGTATGGTATGATAAGGTGTGATGTTTGACAGCATGTATGGTGAGATGAGGTGTGATGTTAGTAAGCATGTATGGTGTGATGAGGTGTGATGTTTGACAGCATGTATGGTGTTTTTAGGTGTGATGTTTGACAGCATGTATGGTGTGATGAGGTGTGATGTTAGTAAGCATGTATGGTGTGATGAGGTGTGATGTTAGTAAGCATGTATGGTGTGATG